TAGATGGATAGTAGACTCCATCTCGCTAGCGTACTCTTCTTTGGGCCTTCAATGCCCCATTGGAGTACGGGCCCACTCGACTAGAGGCATCGCCTCGTCTTGGGCATGGTCCAGTGGTGTGTCCATTGCGGATATTTGTGAGGCGGCCGGCTGGGCCTCCGCCGTCCCATTCGCAAGGTTTTATAACCCGGAAGTCCCGGCCTTGCAGGCCAGGGTCCTTTCCGCTTGAAGTGACATGCGCTGCGTAAACAGATCTGGCAGAGAGCCCTTGGCCGTATCACGCTCAAGTTCTCTGGCATTGTTTTACCTGTTAGCTCTCGACCCCTGGATGTCAAAGTTACAGGAGTACTCTGGAATGATTAACCAGGCCGGGTGTGACCTCGGGAAGCTCAGCCCGTCTTAGCCTTGGGTTGTTGTTAACTTCTCTATGAGCATTGGTTGTTTATGGAAGTTTATACTTTTAGTCGTTCCACTACATTAGCATGGCGTGATTGTACTGTGTTCCCATATGCGTCTAGCAAGATGCAGTACGAGTGTACTATCGAAAAGGAACGTACTCAGTTACTAACCTCGGTTCCCTGAGATACGGGAACGAGTACTGCGTTGCTAGCCGTGCTATGTAGCTACACGACTCAGTCGTCGCTTCAGTCGAAGTAACCTGAGAATCCTGTGGCGAACGCCCGCTTATATAGCCAGATGCCACGCCCATTCTGGCGGGCTTTGGCTGGCTTCATCGCCATAGGCTCGTGCAGCTCCGCTGCCTAGCCATTGGTTCATTTTTAATACACTGCACGAACCAATGGCCGTGCAGTTTCACTGCGTGAATGAAAAGGCTTCAGTTCAGGAGAAAAAAGGCTTTTTTCCCATATGCGTCTAGCAAGACGCAGTACTCGTTCCTGTATCTCAGGGAACCGAGGTTACGTTAGTAACCGAGTACGTTTCCCTTATGTACAATGTGAAAATGTACAATGAAATGCAATGACTCATACCTTTGTTTGTGTTCTTCAAAGGCTGAACACTGGTCAGGCCATTTGGATAAAGATTGAATGGTCGACTGGCCATATTTTTAAAAACAATCTGATAAGATATAAAAAAATAGTGAATTTCAGAAAGAAAAAAAAAACTTTTTTTTAATGTTTTATATATATA